GAGCAGTAGTAGTAGTACTACCAGGAATAGTAGCAGTTGTAGTAATATTAGCAGTTGTAGTAGTGGTGTGTTGTGGGTGTGTTGTGTAGTTTGAAAAGAAGAACCTGTGACTTTTAAATCCTTTACTGCTGTTTTAATCACTTCAATCAATTGTCCAGATTTAAATTATATATTTTTGGCCAAATATTTTTGAACATTTGTGTGCTTGTACTTTATAAGATAGTAACACAAATGCTCCATTAGGGCTGCAACAATTATTTTTTTCATCCATTAAAGAGATAGTTCAGATTTTTTGAAGTGGGGTTTTATGGCGTACCACTCCATAGACAGTAAGTCAACTGGCACGTCCCAAGTTTGGAGAAGCCGACTGGAGGCTGACATGAAAGCTAAGCAAGTCCAACCAAAAAAATGTAATATCAGTTCAAGTGTACGCTATATTTAGGATATTTCCTTGCTGTCAGACAGTGATTTCCAATGGGAAAATGAAGCCGTAATGGCGGTCTCTTCAAAGCCAGGCTCCATTGAGAAAATCAGTAATTTATGATTGCTGAAATACAGGACCAGGTGTCACAAAGTCACACAATAACACAAACAAAATAAGTGATCAAAGCAGTGGTAGAACAGCAGCTCCTGTGTTCAGTGAGCTAAAATGACAATTTTTGTGAATGGAATCTGGCGGCTTTGATGAGAGCATATAGATGGATAACTGAAGCTGTTATCTATTTCTCCATAGGAACAGTTAGGGCTGTCTGATGGAAAGGTAAAGAGGTGAAAATACTCGCAAGTAGGGCTGCATGATATTGTAAAAAACTGACATTGCAATTTAATTTGCGACATGTATTGCAATGTTAAAGAATACAAGAATATTCACCAGATGACTTAAACTAAGAAAATTAAAAAATAGAGGCGGGGCTTTTACTCACCACAACTGCAGAGGCTACCAGCTTCATTTGAAACAGACTACATTATAAAAGGACCATTATTTATTAATCCCACTGTGTCTTTATATTTTTTACTTTTTATCCGCTCCCCTTGCCTTGATAAAGTTAATGCATCGCGCCATCATTTCAAACTCAACACTTCCTGAATTTGTTTCAGATTAAAAGCCTCTTATAACCTCGACTGAGAGAATCCCTCCATTTTCTAAATAGGCTTTTATTGTGAAACATTTGTAGGAACTTGTGGAGGATTCAGTGACTTGTATGTTTGCGTATGGTACTTCAAATGTAGTTCCTGCCATCTGCTGACGCTTTTTAGGTGACTACAACAACATTTCGGCTGACACGTGAACAGACACAGTGACTGAAATAATAGTACAAGTAATAAAAATAGGACAAGAATAACCCGATGACATCACACACGTTGTGAAAGACAACCTGGGATAATTGGTGAGTATCGTGTAGTGTGTCATGTCTGTTGGCCAAGTCACGGCACGATTTTATGACTCCACAACCGTGTAATGTGACATAGTGACTCTCAGAACGGGCAGAAAAGTCGTGTAGGGTGTACCAGGCATAAATCCTCCTTTACCGTTTCTCCGTCTTGCATGTCTTTCATTTTCAATGTGTGACTGCAGCGTGTGCATGAGAGGAGGAGGGGCTGCTGAGTGCTCAGAGAGAGAGAGGTGAGCGGAGCGGAGTAAAGAGCTTTCTTCAGAGCTGCGTTTCTGAAGCAAAACAAAAGTTTACATGTTCTAAAAAAAGAGAAAACACTGCATGTCCTGCGATGCGACTATCGTACATGCACAAATCGCGATGGCAATGTTCAAACGATATATCGTGCAGCCCTACTCTCAACATAATGTACACTTAAACTGATGATTTTATTAGGGGGCTAAAATACACCTGCTTCTCCAAACTGGGGGTGTATCTGACATCTACTGATTGTAATATGCTGTCTATGGAGAAGTACCCCAAAGAACCTCACTTCAAAGTATCTCAACGATCCCTTTAATCTGCCAATTATTTTCCTTATTAAGCAATTGATTGTTGGTGCGGAAGTATGTCACCATGGTTCCCTCAACAAAAGCCAATGGGATTTTTTTTCATTGAGTATTATTGCAGAAAATAAGCTCTGTGGCAAACAAATGTTTATGATACCTACACGTGTTGTTCAGCAAGATAATCTTCACAAATGGACACCACTTTTATGATTTTTGAAGTGTAAATGCAATCGCCAGAAGTAAAAGGCTAACGTTATAAATGGCTATAAACAAACTGCACCACCACCATCTAGTGCTGACGCAGTTCTGTGGAGATAGGTCTGGCTGTGTAAGACTGATCCTTCTCCTACACACTGGACCTAAGTTAGTTACGTTGAGGTTGTTTCAAGAGGAGTGTAACATTCATGTTGTTTGGTTTCTGTGTCTAATTTGATGTGATTGCATATCCACCCACTGTAAAAACACTGTGTGCCTGTGTGTGCGTGAATGAGAGAGAGAGAAATGAAACCCTAATTCCGTCTTGTCAGCACATGTTGTTTGATCCAGGCCAGACCAGTGCAGGGCGGACCGTGGGATGGATAAAGAGAGAGGGAAGAAAAGACAGCGAGTGAGGGAGGGAGGATCTGAATGTTCTCCCAGTCACTGAAATAAACAGCATTCTCTTCTTGTCAGTTTTGGACATGTGTGCCTATTTTTGCTGTCAGCTCTGTTCCCATGTTGACTAAAAACCACCCAGGGATGTCTATGGAGCTGAACACTCTGGTCATATTGATTTTTTATGTGTCATCCCCTTTTAAAATCATCAGAGATGGACATTAGAGGTTTCAAGATTTTAGGACTGTGGTTAAAGATGTCAGACTTTAAATGAGACTTTAAAGAGCAATAGTTAAGGTTTTTGTTTTAGTAAAACACATTTTCATATTTATTGTAGTGTGTGATAAGTGTATTTGTGGGTAAATTAGTGTTGTCTAAGCAACTGATCCTGTCTCTAAAATCCAGTAGAGAGAAAGTTATGCCCTAATACTGTTCAATCTCAACATCACTCAGTCAGTACATTTACATGCAGCTTGAGAAAAAAGGATTATTGGCTTAGTCCGACTGAAACCGGACTTTTAAATGCATGTAAACAACTTAGTCCGACTGAAATTGGACTATCCGTAGCTCAACTAACACACCTAGATAATTCAATTGAAAATCAACTATTGCTGCATGTATCCACTTTGATTTTCAATCGAATGGAGTCGGACTTGGCATTCTGCACATGCACCACCTTTCTCACACAGCAGCGCAGCGCAGCACGGCACTGTATACACAGCAGAGTGAGCCTGTGTTGCGTTCAGGCGTTGTCATGTAAATGACAAATTCCAGCATGTGAATAGGCCATAGCACAACACAGCAGCATGTCAAGTGGGCCGAACGTGAGCAAAATTTTGCTCAATTTTTAAGTCCGTGATTTCCCTGTGACACTTACAGATGTATGCGTAACTGTGCTTGGATGTTGTTTTATGAGGCTCTGGTGTCTTTCAGTTGTCTCCTTGTCTGTAACGTTACACGGCTTGGCTTTCTCTTGCATGCATGCTTCCTACTTTTCTCTGTGCTGTCTCAAGTGTTGATATAGAATGGTTGTGTTGCCGCGGGACGTGGCGACTTTAACTTTTACATTTTTACACAGCATAGTTGAGCTTTAAAACTTCCCTGGTGAACTGGGAGGAGCTTTTTTGAATTAATTGCCGCAATTCAGAAAATGATAATCTGCTGAAAGAGATGTATAATTTGATTTAGATTTTTGTTGGCGCATCATAATTTAAATTACATTGTCTCTGTTTTTTGGCAGTTGATGTGACTTATGTAGCTAGATTTGAAAAGAAACTTATTAGTATTCTTATTAAAAACAGTGTTTTGCTATTCTAGTACCCATCAGTACTAACAGAATAATAATGCAGCTTTAATTTTGCTGTAGAGGAATACTTTGAGGTTGAATGGGCAGCAGAACTTCAAGGTTTAATATTGCAAGTTTAATTTCCCATTTTAGTACAAGTTAGTGACACGAAACCTGGCATACAAATCTGTGCCTTTACAATATTTTCATTATCAGCGTTTTCTTTCACATCTTTATCTTTTTACTGAGCTTGAATAACTGAAATGTACTTCTGTGCAATGTTAAATGTGTTGTTTTTGACCATAAGCAAGTGTAGAGAAAATGTTAATAACCACACACTGTCATTTAGTTACATTGATGCATTTTTTTTAATAGACAACCTGGATGCAAACAATGATCTCTTATTATTTTTGGTAAATATCATATTCATAGGCTACTTGTAAGTATCAGTGTTTCCGACAGGATTTTTGGAGACTATGGGGGGTGGGGGTCCGAACCTTCCAGGGGCATGCTCCCCCGGGAAAATTTTTTGTATATATTTGATTTTAAAGGCATCAATCTGGTGAATTCTGAGCCACGTTATGATGGCAGAATATGCCTAGATTTCAACATCTTTGTGTTTTTTATGTGTAAAAAATGTTCTGTTTTTACTGATAAAAACACTAGTGGTATGTTATGGTGAAGGGTTATACTTAAAATACAGCTAAGGGTTAGTGGTTAAACATTTCAGTCATCAAAAGAAAAATGACTAATGTACTGATCTGCCTCTGGAGGGCCAGTGTTTCCCCTATGTGCAACTAGCAGCGGTGCACTGCTGCTGCTGAAAAATGACCACCGCTGCTGATTCTCAGTAGGCGCTCCAGCTGGTGCGCTACAGAGTTTTTTGTACCGGAGGCATTTTATATCTGGACGATTTTTGGAGACTATGGCGGGGCAAATTAGATTATGGCGGGCCACCATAGTCTCGTCAATATATGGGAAACACTGTAAGTAGTAAGGATGTAAGTATTCATCTGTATCTACTTCATTGTCTCTTTGTTATTGTCTGTGCGTGTCCCTGTCAATATGCGTCCAGTTGCCTACAATATAGCAAGTTTACGAACGCGGAGAAGATGTAAGGAGTGTGGCATAATTTACAACTTTGATACAACTTTTTCCTTCCTTGTCCCCCTCCTTTAGGACCAGTTCAGAGCAGAGGAAGCTGCGTTCTCGTGATGCGGCCAGATGTAGGCGGAGTCAGGAGTCAGAGGTGTTTTATGAGCTTGCCCACACTCTGCCCCTCCCCCGCAGAGTCTGCTCACACCTGGACAAATCTGCCATCATAAGAGCTGCCATCAGCTTCCTGCGGATGCACCACCTCCTCCAACCAGGTTAGAAGCACATTTTCTGATGGTTGTCCAACCCAACAGAACCTGAGCGCTCCACAGTTTTCTCAATTATTGAGAAATTATTAAGCGTTTGTTTTGTCATATTACAGTACAAATGGCACCTAATAGTATGCATTACTGTACACAAAATCCAGTTCAGTATGTATTTACACTTATTTAGAAAAATGCATCATTCAACAGTGGCTTATTGGCCATAATTCCTACAGTAACAGTTAATCCCACTCAAATATCAGCATGTTGTTAAAACGATAAACAAGTAACACAAATGTCAGAAATGTAATGTGATTTTCCATTGATTTGATTTTGATTTGATTTATTTCTCGAAGACGATAAGACCGTAATCCTAAGGATAACATGCTAAAGTAAAATACTTATTTCCAGCATGGTCCTAGGTGTTTACACACAAGAAACAAATAAACAAGAAGCAGACAATCTCAGACTAAAAATACATACAGTAAGTAAGAGACAAAATAAATAAGAAAACAAAACAGCTGTAAAAACTATCTAGTTCATCAATAAATATCCACCTTGTTCCATAAAATCTGCTTGACCTGTCTTTTAAAAATCCCTCGTGATGAGAGGCATTTTGTAGCAGTTGGCAAACTATTCCATGCCATGATACCAGTGTAAAAGAAAGAGTTTTTAACTGCATTATCAGCTCTAGGAACTATGCAGGAGCGGATGCTGGCCCTAGTGTTATGACTATGCTGCGTGTGGACCATGGATACATTAGAGCATAAATATTTGGGGGCATGACCATTAACAATGTTAAACATATGGTTCAGCTTAAGTTGTTCTACTCTTAGATGTACAGGTAGTAGACCAGCTCTTGTAAACTCCTCCCTACCAATATGAGTACAGGGGGGTGTTTTTAACAGGTACCGAATAACATTGATTTGCAGCACTTGGAATTTGTTTTTAAGTTTCACAGTCAACCCAGAAAACCATGCAGAGCAAGCAAAATCCACATGACATTGAACCAGAGTTAATACCAATAATTTCTTTACAGAAAAATCAAAAAGCTTTGTCTTGCGATATAAAAACTTCAAATTACAGGAACATTTGGATAAAATTTTGGCTGCAATGGATTCACCTATAAGTGAATGATCCAATGTTAGACCCAAATATGTGAAACTTGAATTAGACACAATTTCAGACCCATTACACATTACCTTTAAAATATTTGATTTTGCCAACTTCCTTTTTGTACCAAACAAGATTGATTCAGTCTTGCCCAGATGCATAGAGAGCTTATTGTCTACAAGCCACTGGTTGACAGACTCAAGCTCTATGCCAAGAGTATTTTCAATGCCTTTAACATTACACCCTGGGACAAGTAAAGCAGGATCATCGGCATATAATAGCAACTTGCACTGTACCGCAGCTGACATGTCATTTATGTATATTAAAAATAACAGGGGCCCCAGGATCGAACCTTGGGGCACCCCGCATGTTATACTCTGCGGATCAGAGAGGGTCCTCTCAACATCGCATACTTGAGTCCTATCTGTTAGGTAAGAAGTGAACCATTTGAGTGCTGAGTTTCTAAAACCTATGCACTGTAATTTAGAAATCAAAATGTCATGGTTCACAATATCGAATGCTTTTTGCAGGTCAAGTAGAAGCATACCAACATAATTTCCTAGATCAAAATTCTGACGCACATAGTCGAAGAGGTGAATGAGACAGGTGTCAGTAGAATAGGCAGCTCTAAAACCAGACTGGAGCTCATATAATAGATCATGCCTGATGAGATACTCCTCCACCTGTTCATACACAAGACGCTCAAAAATCTTTGATATAGTTGACAGAATTGAGACTGGCCTATAGTTCCCAACATCAGCTCTGCTATTATTCTTGAAGAGGGGAACCACCCTAGCATTCTTCATATCGTTTGGGAAAACACCCTGACTTATGGACAGATTTATGACATAGGTAATAATACTAGATGTAACCCCAGCACTGCCCCTAAGAAACCTGGAGGGAATGAGGTCCAAGCCAGTGGCCTTATTCACTAACAGGGTTGAGAGGCTCGCTCTTACTTTATCCTCTGAGACAGGACTAATTGCAAATGCATCTGCAGAGACATTTTTACTTCTATAAAAGGAGTTAACAAATGAATTGCCATATTTATCAGAAGCACCTGGCAATTTACTAACCAGACTGGAAGCAACAGTTGTAAAGTAATGGTTAAAATGGCAGGCAATCAGCCGCTTATCAAAACACATCTCATCTTCAATAATAAGCCCCGCTTTACCAGACTTTGATTTTGATTTTGCTGTTGATCCCATATCATTGAGAATTTTCCATAGTTTTTTAGGCTGTTTTACATTTGCAGCAATGGAATCAGAATAAAATTCAGACTTAGCCTGTTGGACCTTGTAACTAACTTGATTTCTAAGATTAGCATAAGAGTTATATAGTCAGCTGGTAGATTAGACTTTTTAAACTTTATGAAACATCTGTTACGTTGTCTGATCAGATCAACGATTTTAGATGTCATCCAACATGCACTTCTGTGCTTAATTCTTGTTTCCCTCATTGGTGCAACTTTATCAAGAACAGCTATGAAATGCTGCTTGAACAAATCCCAAGCTTTGTCAACATCATTACATTCGAGCACATCCGACCAGTCTCTCTCAGATAGCCTTTGATTGAACACCTCAGCAGAGTACTGTTTGGTACATCTGTATTTGATGGAACAATGCTCATTTATTGGCTGAGATTTCATTTTCTTGCATGTGCAAAAAACTGCATTATGATCACTGAAAGCCACATCCAACACACCTGACTGACATATCATTCCACAGTCAGAAACTAAAATCAAGTCAAGAAGGGACTGGCAATTAATAGACAACCTAGTAGGCTCAGTAATTAATTGCTGTAAACCAGACACCTTACAGAGACATGAAAGAGACTCTTTTAGGCTACTTCGTGGCAATAATAGATTTGTATTCAAATCACCCATGATGATACATTTCACCCATGATGATACATTTCACCCATGATGATATATTATAAGACCGAACTGCGGCTTGTGCTCAGGCACAACAGACTGATGAAAATGCACACGTGAAAGCACACTGTAGCAGGGTTCAAGCACTTTAACCACATATTTAAATTTGTCATCTCTACAGTGTAAGTTACAGTACATGTAAGTGTGGTCACATGTACGCAGTGATAAACTCTATAGCATTAATTATGACTACAGTCAGAATCTGCAGTGTGAGCCTTTAAAATGATTCTTGCAATATACTTATATTAATCTTTTTAGACAATTTTGACTGTTTTCTGATGGTTTTCTCACTTTAAGATTTGTTGACTAGTCTGTTTAAACTTTGATTTAAACTTCAGGGAATACAGTTGTTAGGAACATCCCTAATGATAACATTTGCTAATGACTATTTTGGATGGCAGTGTATGCTTTTTGAGTGTATGTGAATACTTGGGGAATGTTCCGTCCCAAATATGTAATTAGTGCTCCACTAGGCCAACTAAAGCCTTTAATACCCCCCCCCCCCCCTTGCTCTTAATCTACGTGACTTTTCATGACTGAGTTTCAAAAGTGAAATCCGTCAGGCATCAGAGGAAATGGAGCCCTCTGACTCTTTCACGTTCAGTATTAAGGTATTTTTCTTTCACTATATTATTCTGACGATATGAGTTCTGTGCTGTTTTGTTTCCTCAGAGATCAGAGTATCAGATTTTTATTACTCAGATGACAAACAAGAAAAAAAGCAGCAGGATTTTTGAAGTGTGGTTCTCCTGAGTTTGTACCGGAAAACTGATTAGTAGAGGGAAAAAAAGTTTATTTTAACTGGTAATGCAATTCTTAATATTTGGATGAGTTTGTTACAAGGTCTGAAAATATGACAGAGATATGTCCAGTCACTGATGAATGGGTGTAAAGAATGATGCAGATAAACTGTAAGGGCTCTAGTTTCCCGGTGGCGAACCCCGCGCAGAGCTAGTTTCGAGCAGCGCAACCCAAGGTGCGCTCAGTTTGGTAGTTTGGCAGACCGAGGTGCGCTGAGATGGGTGTGACGGCGCAGCAGGGGGAGGTGTCGACAGATCCAGCTTGGCGCAGTGACAGTTTCGTGCCAAAAGGCTTCGCCAAAGGTGCGCTAAAAGCTCGCCAGCTGAAACCAGGTCTACTGTCAGCGCAGGCGGAGCGCAGCCGGTGTAAGCCAAAGTTTGGCTGACCAGGGGACAGTGCGCACACGTCACCAAAACCTCACAGGCAGGTTTCCAGAATGTCAGGCACATTAACAATGCAATAAATACCCACAAAAAACACTATTCAATGCAACTATCTGCAATCAGCACATAAATGTATCTCTGTATCGACTGTCCCGTCACATCTGATGTCAGATCAAAGGGGATTGGCACCGTTTGGCACGTTTGGCACACGTAATGGAAACCCAACCTGATTTGATTAACACAGCTGCAAACTAATGAGTTCACATCCCTCTCAGCCAACCACAAACAGCCACAGCATCAGATAGGGAGTATATATTCAGCATCTGTCATCTTAGAAAAGTCAAAAGAAAAGAAACAGAGTGAGACTGCGAGAGAGAAAGAGAGAGCGCACGGGCACGTGAGAGAAACTCAACATTGATTTACAGTTGTGGTGACCTCCTCCCAGGCTACCTTTGCATCATCAGCCCGTGGAGGTCTGCTCACAGTTCCGTGTATTCGGACACTGCGAGCTTGGACCTCCCAGACCAAAACATCAGTTTCCTCCTGGGAGAAGTTTGGCTGTCTGACGCTGCTGCTATCTTCTGCCATGACGAATTGAGTAAACTCTGATTATGCCTTTGTGCGTCGCATTTAAGGGCGAGGAGAGGGGCTCATTTGATTGGTGTGATGTGTGTAAAACCCACTCCACGCCTTCTCTCCTCCCTCTTTCCGACTTGCGCAGGTAGGAGGGAAGGAGGTGGGAAAGAGGAGTAGCTGCACCAGCGCGCACGGTGTGCCAAACTTGCAAAATCTGCCTGGCCACAACCAGTTGGCAAAGCGCAGGTGCGCTGTGCCCCCACCTTGCCCGGTCTGCGAAACTAGAACCCTAAGTCTGCGTCATTTTAGGGCAAAAGTTAGTAATTACAAAATGTTTTGGTTCATCAAAACCTAACAGGGCCATAAAGGCAACTGAAGTTTTAACAGAGGCTGTTCCGTCTGCCGTAATAATAACTTTGTTTTTTCCCAGCAGGTGAGAAGCAGAAAGAGGAGGATCCAATGGATGCTTTCTATCCTCAGGCGTTGGCTGGCTTCATCATGGTGATGACTGAGGAGGGAGACATGACCTACCTGACGGAAAACGTCAGCAGATACATTGGCATCACACAGGTACAGTGTGAACACAACCTGGGCCCTGTTTTAGAAAGCAGGTTTAACAAATTCTGAACTCTGAGCTGATGTACCTTGAGAAGGAAAACTTGCAGTTCAATCAACTCTGTATGTTCACCCCAAGTTAAGCTTGTGCATGTTGAATGAAAAAATCCATCATCAGTGAGGATCTGCTACTACAATTCACCATGGCAACAGGTAAATAAAAGGCAGAGCCTCCATTTTAAACCAGTGAACGTAGAGATATTAATGCACGTGCAGACTGTGCACATTTATCAGCTCAAGGTTGAGTGGGGGAAAGTGTCAATACCATAACACAGTAGTTTTATTCAGTGTTGTCCTTTCAAATTCATCATTTAGGCCAGGGGTAGGCAACCTGTGGCTCCGGAGCCACATGTGGCTCTTTAGCCCCTGTCCAGTGGCTCCTTGAGCCTTTGAGAAAAGAAGTCTATGGAAATTCATTCTATGAATCCAAATGTTGCTGAACCTTGATAGCAGTGGCTGGTTAGCTATGGATGCCAAATCCAAAAAAAGTAAATTGAATAAAATAGAGAATGTAGTAGTGCGTGGACAGATTTGTTTGCTCTCACTCCCAGCTCTGCAAAATTTAAGTACCAGATAATTATTAATAGTGCCCTGCACAGTGACCACCTTGTGGTAAAACATATTAACAAATGCTTATTTAGACCATAAGTATACACTAATTTAGACTTAATAGGCTATTTACCTTGATTCTAAGGCTCAAACATGTTTTGCGGCTCCACACAGATTTTTTCAAATTATTTTTGGTCAAAAATGGCTCTTTTAATGGCAAAGGTTGCAGACCCCTGGTTTAGGCCATAGCATATACTTCATTTCAGTGTTACACACACAAATAGATTGTATGTGTTGCTTTTCCTGTGTCACTTACCTGAATTTCTGTTTGTGTGACTTTGGTGTTTTATAGGGGTAGTCTGAAAGTAACACAACAACACAAACTGATCAAGGCAGTGTTGGAGCAGCAGCTCCAGAGTTCAGCAAGGTGTAATTACTATTTATGTCAATGGAGTTTGGCTTTGAAGGAAGCTTCACTTTTATTTCAGTCCCCACTTGCAAAGGACTGTCTGTGAAGTACTGAGCATATGACTGTATAAATGACACTCGGCTTATACTGCAGAGTTGTTGAAGAGTTTGGAAACAGATGTTTTTATATAGTTTTCCTGTTATTTAACACTGACCTCTATGACATCAAATCCACAGTTTTTTTTTTTTTTTTTTTTTTTTTTTTTGGATTCTGTGTTCACTGGGGAGGCAATGTGGAGAAATTGTCGTTTGGGGAGTGAAGTATTCCCTTAATTTGAGTTGGAGTTTTTACTGTCAGCCTCTGGGACAGTGCCTGACTTATTTTGAGTAACCTGAGCAGAGAGAGAGACCATCCATGAGATCTATTCTTAGTTCTGTAAGAGATCAGGTTTATCATTGAAACACAACTAGGTTATGAGTGCATACAGAAATACAAAGTGAAATGTGCTTTCCAGCTGTGTAATGTAGATTTGATTTAATCTTACAGTGATCCAATTTACTGTCCATTCCCTCAGCAAAGATTCAACGCCTCCTGCCAATAATTTAATTAGATTTAGTCTGTTTTGGTTCATTAAAAGCACAACAATAAATTGTTAAGAAAATTAAGTGATTCAGTAAAGTCAAATAACTATCGATAAATCTTAAACCAAAGCACCAGTCATACCAAATACACAAAATACATAGTAATATTGTAAATAGTATTACAGTTCAAAGAAACACGTAAATGTAATATCACCCAGTTGTCTTTATGCCTCTGCGCTGGTGATGGCTGTGGCCGGGGGCATTTTGTTTTTGGGTTGTCCTGAGGGAATTTCTTCAACTTCTACACCAATGTTCACTTGGACTCAGTGATGAACTGAATAGATTTTGGTGGTCAGAGGTCAAGGTCACAAACAAAAAAAACATGTTTTTGGCCATAACTCAAGAATTTATATTCTAATTATGACAAAATTTCACACAAATGTCTAACAGAATAAAACAATGAAATTATATGTTTTATCCTAAAGGTCAAAGATCAACTTCAGTATGACATCATAATGTTCTGCAGACACTTTTCTGGCCATTATTCAAAGTCACAACCCAGAAACATTTGGTCAGATACTGAATTGATAACTCTAATTTTGAGTGTCCACCTTGAAACTATAATTGCAGCTACACTGGTGCATGAAGACATACAACTGTGAGGCAGTAGTTCTTCTTTTAACTTTCAAGATGGATGCAGCTGACTTTCCATCCTCAGACTGATACCGATGATCATTCTTTGTGACTGTTGTTGTTTATTGTTGTTTACAGCTGGAGCTGCTTGGTCAGAGTATTTACGACTTTGTTCATCCCTGTGATCAGGAGGAGCTCAGAGACCTGATGGCTCCACGTCCAGGTCAGACAGAAGGCTTATTAATACAATAACAATCCTCAAAAACACAAAGTGTTTAAGATTTCCTCTCCTAACCACAGGAGTAACACACATAAAGCCTGTACTAATGGTAATGTTAAAGGTATACTATGCAGGAATTGTCGCTCACTAGCCTGAGTGTCAGACTGAAGCTCCCAGAACCTTCAGTCTGACATAGCTTCCATTGAAGGCGATTTACAAGGGGGAGGGAATTTGATTTTTTCACTAACCAATCAGTAGAGATCAACGACTCACCCAGAATCTGACGTCATTAGTATCCATGCCTCGGGGGTGCCGAAAACAAGCGAGCATTGCCCGTTTAAAATGTCTCCGTCGTCGTGCACGCCCAGCTGCATCGCCGTTAAATCCAGTTTAGCAGCTTCCTTAATTTGGTCCTCCATTAACGCGAGTAGTGGCGAAATACCTCGATAGCATCGTTAATGTGGTCTGTAGGATCTGTAGAGGTCGCCATTGTTGCTATCCTCACCAGTTACCCACCGGCGTACAGCTTGACATCAGCGTGGCGCTGATTGGCTAATCGCTAGACCCCCGGCGTTCATTGGTCCGTCCATCGTTTGGACGAGATAAATCGCAAATTCATTGAAGTATGCCAGACCAGAGATGCAAGCCTACTCAGTTGAGTGGGCGGGGTCTATGGTCTGGAACCAGGCTAGTCGCTCACTGTTAGTAAACACAACAATAAAACTTGGCCCCTCCCTCCTACAATGCTGGAGGTTGGAGGGATGTCAGTGCCAAGAATACTTTTGGTTACACATGTCGGTGTCCTCGTCCTGACCTAACATCATCACTATAAGCATTGTTAAGTGTGTTATGACTGTTAGCTCTGTCACTCAGCACCATTAGCAGTGTCAGCACAGCTAGTGGTGCTGACTTGGTTAACAATGCTAAGAGGTTTTTGTGGCCGCTAACTCACCAGGGCTAGCTGGAGAGACCAGGGGTTGGCTACCATGTTTCCACCATGTAATCGCAGAATGAGCAGGGCTGCTAGATAGCACCCAACTGACCCAGGTAGTGTGCGGTGCAGAGCAGTGATGGCTAACGTTAGACAACCATTGGAGACCACGAGGTGGAGAGTGGGCACTATTTTTGCACATGTTGGCACAGCTAGCCGGCTGTCTGTCAGCAAAACCAACAGAAAAATAAAAGCAAGACTTTTACAACACAAAATAGTCAAAATTTAATCACCTCTTAATGGATAGCCTTTGAAATGCTGAAGCTCACTGAGTCAATGGAGCAGCAGAGTAAAAGGACAGGCCCCTTGTATTTAACGTAATTTGTATTTCTTTGTTCTTAAAAACTAACTGTTTGGTTAAAGATTAATAGATGTCAGGCCATCAAAAGCATAATTCACTAAAACTAACGTCTCTTGTAGGAATTCTACATTTATGGTAATGGAAACGCTGATACTTTAGCAACTTTACTAAGCTAACCGCCGACACCTGTCTAACAGCTGCTCTTCATCCCCATCCTCTTCTTCAGTGCGAAAGTGAAAGCCAGCTCCAGCTTCACTCTTATTCTTTAACATACACTGCCCGGCCAAAAAAAAAGTCGCCACCTGGATTTAACTAAGCAAATAGGTACGAGCCTCCTATTGGATAATTACTGCATGGGCGATTATCTTTCAGCTGGCAACAAGTTATTTAACCCCAACTGGTGCAATGAGTTGCTTCTCATTTCCTAAACAACCATGTCGAAAGACACATCCCGTGGTCGTGGAAAAGATGTTAGTCTGTTTGAGAAGGGTCAAATCATTGGCATGCATCAAGCAGAGAAAACATCTAAGGAGATTGCAGAAACTACTAAAATTGGGTTAAGAACTGTCCAACGCATTATTAAAAACTGGAAGGATAGTGGGGACTTCGAGGAAGAAATGTGGCCGGAAAAAAATCCTCAATGATCGTGATCGGCGATCACTTAAACGTTTGGTGAGATCAAATCGAAGAAAAACAACAGTAGAACTCAGGGCTATGTTTAATAGTGAAAGTAAGAGCATTTCCACACGCACAATGCGAAGGGAACTCAAGGGATTGGGACTGAACAGCTGTGTAGCCTTAAGAAAACCACTAATCAGTGAGGCTAACCGGAAAAAAAGGCTTCAATTTGCTAGGGAGCATAAAGATTGGACTCTGGAGCAATGGAAGAAGGTCATGTGATCTGATGAGTCCAGATTTACCCTGTTCCAGAGTGATGGGCGCATCAGGGTAAGAAGAGAGGCAGATGAAGTGATGCACCCATCATGCCTAGTGCCTACTGTACAAGCCTGTGGGGGCAGTGTTATGATCTGGGGTTGCTGCAGTTGGTCAGGTCTAGGTTCAGCAACAGTATGTGCTCAAAGAATGAGGTCAGCTGACTACCTGAATATACTGAATGACCAGGTTATTCCATCAATGGATTTTTTATTCCCTGATGGCACGGGCATATTCCAAGATGACAATGCCAGGATTCATCAGGCTCAAATTGTGAAAGACTGGTTCAAGGAGCATGAGACATCATTTTCACACATGGATTGGCCACCACAGAGTCCAGACCTTAACCCCATTGAGAATCTTTGGGATGTGCTGGAGAAGGCTTTGCGCAGCGGTCAGACTCTACCATCATCAATGCAAGATCTTGGTGAAAAATTAATGCAACACTGGATGGAAATAAATCTTGTGACATTGCAGAAGCTTATCGAAACAATGCCACAGCGAATGCGTGCCGTAATCAAAGCTAAAGGAGGTCCAACGAAATATTAGAGTGTATGACCTTTTTTTTTTGGTGGTGACTTTTTTTTTGGCCAGGCAGTGTATTTTGTCCACTTGGTGTTGCACCTCATTATTTGCATTTTTTTCAGCACTGTGTCCGTGATTTTTTTTTTTTTTGGCTTCCTCTCAAAGGCATGTTGCTACTACATAGGCGCTCCCTTTTAATAAAGTCCCAGCCTCACCCATGCGCTGTGCCCCTAAACGTCCCAAGCACAGCAAGAAGAAAATTCAGGCAGAGAGCAGTGTCTCTGCAGATTAATACAATGCTACACAGTTCAAATAGGACATTAGTGATGACAGAGAGGGATTATTTCTGTATGAGTCTGTATGTTGTTGGGTTTTTTTTGTATTGTTTTTTAAGGAAAATCCTACATAGTCTATCTTTAAATAAAAACATCCTCCTTCTCTGGATACTAGATCATAGTTTGGTTGTGGAGGTTAGATGCCTTTCATTTTCTCTCCTCCAGTATTTGATGATCTGTGTTATTTTTTTGCTGACATCTGAAATTATGCTGGGTAGGTGCTTAGCCAAGGTATCATCTGTTCGTCTTGGCAATAACAAGTCATTTAAATACAGACAAGAGGGGGGTTGTATGTCCAGAAGACTTAAGCAATTAGTTGCTGCACTTCCAATCATTTTATAAAAACATTTCTGAGTTTCTATAAATGATTAATATCTTGAGTAAATGAACTGTGAGCTACCTGTGTTTACTTTGTCATGTTGCTTTCAGGTTTGAGTAAGAAACCACTGGCACAACAGCAGAAGGAGAGGAACTTCTTCCTGCGCATGAAGAGTACCCTGACCAGCAGAGGGCGCACCGTCAACATCAAGTCTGCTGCCTGGAAGGCTAGTGTCACCAAAGACTGTATATAGAGACACACACACACTTATCTCAGTGCTGAAGTCAAGCATGGATAGCTCTGTCCAGCCAAGAACGGCTACCACCCACCCACCCTTATCTCTAATACCAACATGGGCAATTTTGAATAAGCTCTTGACCAATATCTTTAACAACCATCACCATATCCAGTATATGTATTGCATACATCTACTTAATATGATTGATGAAAACACAAGAGGTGAGGTCCGTTTTTCAGAACACAGAGTGAAATGTCTTTCAGTTAAGTCTGTGACCATTATATTCCTAATTTTACCTTAAAACAAAACCAGGAGAGAAAAAAAATCCCTCCAGTGAACGATTAGAGAGAAGTACAATGGATGCCTGAGGTTGTGTAGTTTTGTATAATAACCGTATCTTCACTCTAGCTTTAAACCTAAACAGTGGGCTGAGGGGCTGCCAACTACTGTGGCTGACGCAAAAACATGAATGGCCTGAACTAGAGCCAGTGGTTGGTTTGTCCATTTTGTGCTACTGTAAAAATATGGCTCTGCAACATGGAGATCTCCATGGACCTGCTCCCTATGCAGATATAAATAGCTCATTCTAAGGCAATGAAAACACGATTCCTATTTTCATGTGTTACTATACACTGAAGAACATTATATTATATTTCATTTTTTGCCAATATATTCCCCTTAATCATATGCACTGGACCTTTAAAAGATAGTTTGATCAGATATTTTCTGAGTATTGTACCATTTAGATTAAGTTCTTGTGCAGTTGTTAGTGTAAAGATGACATTTAGCAGCTATTTGATTTGTTTGACTTATAACAATATTTGTTCTCAGTAGATTGATACTAATTGGTATGTTAAACTTGACCTGAAACAATACTCTGCCCAACTCCACCATCTTGAATTAATTTTTCCCTCTCCATTTCCACAGGTTCTTCACTGTACAGGGTACATCCATCAGTTCGATGGCAGCTCCAGGTTGTCCCCTGCTGGCCGAGTGATGACCCTGCTGTGTGAACCCATCCCCCACCCATCCAGTGTGGAATTCCCTCTGGGCACCTGCACCTTCCTCACCCGCCACAGCATGGACCTTTGTTTCACACACTGCGAGGGCAGGTAGGATGACCACTAAGTCTTTCACTTTTTCCAGGGTAGTAACTGACCCGGACCTTTGACCTCCCTGTGGATGGGAGGGAAGAGACAGGAGAGGTCCTTTTTGTTTGGATGAATGTCCCATCACACAAAGACAAAAAAGGGAGAGAGGAATAGAAATCCCTGAACCTCTTTGTTTGTGATTTTAATTCTTCTGTTTGTTTTTCTTCCATCTCTCTGTTTCCAGGGTGACAGAGTTGGTGGGATACAAACCTGAAGATCTGATTGGTCGCTCAGCCTACGAGTTTCATCATGCACTCGACTCTGATCACGTCAACAAGAGCCTGCACACATGTGAGTTTCTGTGTACCAGAAAAACAGCATACAGGACATGTAAAATCAATTAAAGACAACGCTAACACTGATTATAAACAAAACTACATTGCTTCACTCATTTCACCTGTACTTAGATACACCTATCCATAAAAACTACCTGAAAACAGTATTAGTGGTATTTAATGTGTAATTTTCAGTGTGTGTTTTCAATTCCTAAGCTTCAAGGATTAGAATTTTTAAGCCCACACAGGAATACATATCATCTTTATTTGAACTTAAAACATGAGAGTTGCACAAATATGTTACAAGTCTGTAAACAAACAGAGAATGACTCAGCTCACAGAGGAGCAGGAGCATTTTGTCAGTAGATTGGTGCGAGGATGATAGGTTTTTTTATAGGCCAACATGGAAGATGGCATCGCCTCGGTTCCCTCGACAGAAAGCGCTGTGACAAATAAAAGTTAATGATACTTAGATGTTTTGTTCAGCATGATAATCTAAACAAGTGAACATCCCTTTCTTGAATTTTGAACTGTAAATGCAATCACCAAATTGAAAAGCTAACATTAGACTAAAAACAAACTACACCGTGCTCACATGATTTAACATCCCCAACACAACATGTTTGGTGTGATTATGTTCTGTAGTCTCATTAACCACTTGTTAGCAGCAGTCTTTTTAAGACATGTAAAGGTTTCAAAATTTACAAATGGGCTATGAAATGATGTATGCCACAGAACAAAACATAAACACATTATTTCAGGCATCCAACCACCAACACATTGACTTTGAGACGAGGGAACTGGGACTGCAAAAAAGCTAACTGCTAACACACTTATTAGGTTTTAAGACTCATTCTTACACCACTGTATGCTACAGTTTTTCAATCCTGCATGTATGAACCTTGAGGACAACCCATCTCTTTTCTGTGTATGTCCCTGTCTGGTGTAGTGCTGTCCAAAGGTCAGGTGAGCACCAGACAATACCGTTTCCTGGCAAACAGTGGTGGCTTTGTCTGGGTAGAGACTCAGGCGACCGTCCTCTACAGCAGCAAGATGTCAAAGCCTGAGGCCGTCGTCTGCCTGAACTTCGTACTCAGGTACTTAAAAAAGCAGGGAGCTCATGTCTCATAGAGCTATGACAGAGCTGGTGTTTTTAGAGCTGCTACAGTACACATGGCAAAGGATGTTGTGTGTAATGTTGTGTAATGCAAACTACAAACTCCTACATCTTCTTCCTGTTCTACAGTGCCGTGGAGCAGCCAGATGTTGTTTTCTCCATGGAGCAGATCCGTCGTGGCCAGCCGGCTGAAGCTGAACCCCTCTCACCAGCGCTGGCACCAAAAGACTGCGGGACTTCTGACATCTCTGACCCTGACAGTGAACATCTCATCAGCTCCAGCAAGACTCAGCGTGCAGGTTCAGATCCCAGCAACAGTGCAGAGCTCTTCTTCAAATTGAAAGAGCAGCCGGAGGAGCTTCTCCAGTTGGCTCCCGCAGCCGGAGACATCATTGTCCCGCTGTCAGGAGGTGAGACACACCAAAGACATTCACATTTACTTAAACCCCAGTGACAAAGGTTTCTTAAAATGATTACAAAATCATTAGCATGTTGTCTGCACCAGAGTTTTTCCTTCTTCTGTTTAAAGTTAAAACAAGGCTGCTGACCCTGTAGTATCTAAGCAGCAGCTATAATAAGAGCTGTTTAAATTTGCTAAATACAAAGGAAAGGAGCTTCAGTGCTTCTTTTATCATCTCCTGTAGCATAGGATACACTGGACCATCCTTTACGAAATAAAAGGAGATAATGCTGCTTATTCCGCTGTTGAATTATATTATAGTTTTAATGTCCTTAATATTTAATGTTTATATAGAGCCCTTCAGCAAAAACGTTCTACACGCTTGTACTTGTGAAATCAGGGTGGAAACATCTTTTATCTGGAATCTGCAAGATCATAAAATCAGCATCAATTACACAGAAGTCTCACTTTCAAGAAAAAGGGATACTTTTTAGCCAGGTGATTTTTTTATTCAACAATTTTGAAACTTGATGATATGTCCAGCAGTAGATTTGTAGGTCTACCACGTTTTGCCTGTCTTGCATACATTTAAATAATTTTAGATTTCAAATTTAATCATTTAGATAAATTATTTTCACATAATCGTATTAGGATTTATGGTGATAACTATGAGCAGACAGGAGGGGGAGTATGAGCAACCATTCTCAGTGTGACAACATTTCATTTCACTCTTGTGACTATTAGCTTCAGTTACTTTTTTATTTCAAATGCTATTTTAGTGGAGGCTTTACTATCGTCACAATTTATTGTTTCTTATCTGTGAAATACAAGTAAATACAAGCTTCCTTTCCCCTGAGGGAAATGGTTTCAGCTTACAGAAGCAGACAGGAGGTCTGTGTCACTGCGACGCTGACCGTGAGGGTGGGCGAGTTCAACTTTCTGTGTCAACAACAGGAGTGTTTTTAAAACACCCCCATTTTCACAGGTATCTTAGCCTGCCCCCCCGCTGCAGGAAATAATGGATAAATCCTGGAGAGCTGTTGATGTAGCACTTTTCTCCTCATGAAAGTAACACGGCGATTATTCGACCAATGAGACTTTGGTCGGACGAGAGCATAGCGACCAAATAATCGACCAGGAGACTACAGCCCTAATATGTACACAGTTACACTTTATTCTTGGATCTTTAGTTTAACGTTTGGATCTTTTGAAGTGAAGTTTTTTCAATGCAGTTTGGTGGCTGTTACAAGAGCATAAATAGGAAACTGGAGCTGTTTCCTGTCAGAAAGGGCTGTCTGACAGTCTGTTCATAGTTTTTTGTGCTCTTTGTGTTTTCTGTCCTTGTCAGAAAATTTCGAGCTGTCGTTCACCAGTCCAGCCAGTCCAAAGTCAGTGCCAGACAACCCTCAGGACCTGTGCACCCCACAGCTGCGAAAGCTCCTCTCACCCATCTTCAGCCCAATCACTCCACCGTCATCATCACAAGAATCCTCTCCCAATCCTAAGCAGGTAAATATGAGCCTTAAATCTTTTTAAAAAATGGAAAATGGAAGTATTTATGTCGCTTTCTGATTTAACTCTTTACTCTCCCCCTTTGTTTCTTCTGTGTCTCATGTCTGTCTCCTTCCCTCAGAGCCCCTGTGAGGACGAGGTCCTGGACAACGGCGAGGTGGGCAGTTTCTTGGCTGTTTGGCGAGAGGACTTTCAGAAGACAGGACAAACACTGGAGGTAAGAGCAGGAAATGTCTACAGTCCTCTCTTAGAAAACCGTGGTTTTGTCTCTTCTGTCTTCCATGTCTAGAGTCATATTTTTAGCATTTATTTTTTAGAAAAGGTAATCTTAAAAAAGGTGAAAATCTTAAAAATGATTTAAAGTGATAACTCCTTTTTTGACAATCTGAGTATTTGGTGCAAATTGGTCAAAAACAAAGAGTGTTTGACATCTGATGTATTATTCCAAAGTGGAGACAATGTAAGATCTTGATTAAAATGACCTGAGATCAACAGTCTGTAAGAAAGTGTTCCGATTTCAAGATTGGGTCTTGAAATCAAAAAGGAAAACTCAAATATCTCCATTGTAACATTTATGGTGCAACATAAATGATGTGTTATCCTCCCTCTGATTTTAATTTTCTAGTCTGTCTTTCCTAAGGACATGGAGGAAATGGATCTGGAAATGTTGGCTCCTTATATCTCTATGGACGATGACTTCCAGCTAACCGTCCTCAGCAGTTTGCCAGAGGAGGCTGACAAACCTCGGCCCTCTTGGCCTGAACCCTCGTCTGTATCGCATGCAATTACAGTGAGCAGGAAACGGTATGATGGCCCAGCATACTTTGGTGTTGCACAGTGTGCCAATATAAGAAAAGTATTGCCATACTGTGTGCTGTTAAAAATGGCACCATAACCTGTTTTATTAGTGTCAGTACTTTAAGAGTGACAGTGTTTTAATAGGAGCTGTGCTTCCTGTGAGTTGTGTGGATATGCGGCAGCAACCTGCCATGACAGTAGCTCACTGTGTGTGCAGCACTTTGCTTCCAGCCCCTGCAGAAATAGTGGAAGAGGCACTATTTGTACAGCTTGTCAACAAAGCAGATGCACGAAATATATATGTAAAATACGGCATTATTGTGTTTATGTAGCTATATGTGCTGCTACTGTTAGCCAGGTTAAACCCGGCACTGCCGCTGTCTATCAGCCAGCTGTGACACCTGGCGCTGGAGGGTTTGTACAGGCCGAATTTGAGCTGCTACATCCTCTGACCAAAGGTCTGTCTCCCTAGCTACTGTCAGCTCTCCTCCCGGCAGTAGTCCACAGCAGCAGGGAGCAAGGTGGACAGACGGTGGGGTAGCTAATGTTAGCTAGCTAATTCTTGTCTCATTTGTGGTCAGAGAGAGAGAGAGCAGGGCAAGGAGGGGCTGAGCGAGTGCAAAGTGTTCAACACTACAGAGAAATAAATGTATGGGAAACACTGGGTTACTGTATGAAGCACATGCATATGCCCATGGTGCCTATGTTTCACATGTTTTACAATCTCTCTGTCTCGCTCTAAGGTGCCATAACCAAGATAATGAGATGCTGTCCCAGCTGATGATTCAGGAGAAGAGACAGAAACATGATCCTTCCTCATTCGAAGAGGAACTTCTTCTAAGCCACAGACTACTGGTGCGTGGAAAGTGGGAAAGAACCTTTTTTAAGAAGCTTACAAAGTGCTTTAGAGAATGATAGAAAAGGAACCTCAAGAACATTCACTATATTTAATAATGATTCAACTTTTCCCTAGAACAAGCTTAAGAAAAGGATCTGCATGAGGATAATTTGACACAATAGAAGACATTTATAAGTCAGATTTTTTTTTCGCCAAGTTGGGAAGAGAACAGTCGTGACAATTAATCCCTTTTAGTTTGCTTTGATTCAGATCTGTTTGCACTGAAATCCCACAAATTAAAGGCTGATCATCACTCTGAATATTTCCTTTTTTATAAATAACAGAAAGCTGGAAGCACAGGATATATAATCAGTGGGTATTATTGAAATAATGAGCATATTCACTTGAAGCCCTGATCACTGTGAATCAGCTTAAAATCAGTGATTCACTTACATTTCCATGGTTTGAAATAATTAGATTTCTGATTTATATGTCTCATTATAATTACCTCCAATATAGAGCTTAAAATTCATGTAATGCTGCCACCCTGATTAATGAAGATTTTTGAAGATGATTGACAGTTTGATTAAACTAAGCTTTGACCTGTTGTTCAGGCTTCTGTGGCTCCTTTTGACCATTTGTTGTACTCTTCAATCTTCAGGGTTGTCTGGAGGTAACCGACCGATCAGATTTGTTCCTGGAGCCGGTACCTGGAAAGCACACAAAGCTTCTCACAGGCAGAGACCCTGTTCTGCAAGGCATACAGGGACTTGGCGACAGTGCAGGTAACATACACACAAACACACACAGTTACAGAGTAATATTTGGTTGAAAAGTTTGGACACTCTTCAGTCATAGTTGCAGTTCAAATCAAAACCATTAAAAGAGAAGTGAGTCAGTCATAAATCCTGCCGATCAGCTCTCTAACCCTGACCGTAAAACTCTTGAGTTACGGTGGCCCTGACAGTTCAACACACTTCAAATTAATAAGAAAACATCCTCACAACTGCAAATTGTGAAAATAACTATATACAGAAGTGTGCTGCAAGTGTGCTGTCGATACATATTGATTTCAGGGGACGCTATTTGGGTACTTGTCATTATGCTAAAATATGCTTCCTTGCCTCCTCTCTCCTCCTGTGACACACAATCGTTCCATTAAATGCACCTGGGGGAGACCAGGAGAGAGGAGGCTTCTAGAGGAGCAAGGAAAAAACAGTGTATCCTAAACTGAAGTCTTTTTTTAGTGTCAAGTCTGACTACAAAGTTCCCCCAAGGTCACAGTGAGATTTTTACTTTGTAGTGTCATGTATAAGGATCTACAGATTAGGGCTGTGCTAGACTCAGAATTATGCTGGTTGAATCAGATTTGGCTGTTCAATACAAATATTCAACTATTGCTCCTTTTTTCTATTAAGAGCTTGAACAGGGTTCAGCGGGACAGTCAATGAGACAATGACATTCACGTTATATATATATAGTAACAAGCTAACTACGCTAACATCAGGACAGAAATGTGCAACATTTTTTGCCAATACTAGATATCAAACAAAAGCTAGAGACTGTACGGTGCTAAGTTGCTGTGAGCTGTAAATTCACCATTCAACTTGATTACATATTATACTGTGACTTTTTATGAATTTTAATGACATTCTATATTGTGAAATTTTAATGAATTTTGATGTCATACTATACAACCAATTTTAAAGGCTTTTACTGACATTTTTCCGACAGTTTTTATGGCATACTGTATAATAAAAAATTGAACCTCTGTAAGTTAAAAGAGGAGGCTGCATCACAAGTCTGTCTCATCTAACAGTGTCTGTCTCTCTTTCAGCTGTGATGAGGAACATTTTCACACCTCTTCCACCTGACCTGTCACCACCTCTCTCCCCCATCACCTGAAGGAGCTCCTTTTCAGCTCCACTTCTGTGCTCAAAGCAAGAAAATTAACGCTGCATCTCTCTGCAGCAATCTGGGAGCACGCATATAAACACACACGTGAACGTAAACTCACACACACACACCGTGTGACCTGCTGTGAGGTCCAACATGACCTTGTTGCATGTAGTTGAACCAGGAACAATCTATGTTGAATGACATGTTGTGAAGCACATAGAGATGCTGTTGACTCTCCTTAACCTATCGCTGCGCAGTCGCATGTTTTCCTTCTGCATTAACCACTATTTTCACTGATATAATGTGAGGAAACTGTCATTGTCATCAGTGTGTTTCATGGAAGTAGGAGATGGTGATATTAAAAAGAATCCTACATGGATTAAACACTGAGACAAATCTTTGAATGTATTTCTCTGAGCAGCTAAAGTAAATTTGTCGCAGCTTTTAACTTCATCAATTTTAATTTGTTTGTGCGTCCATCATCAGTCAAACATGATGTTCTGCTTTGAGCCAACAGCCATCAAATATTAACAGTTTTATTCTTTTCTTCAGTGTATTAATCTGTTTTCTGTCAAATTATACAAACAAACTTGTTATTATCAGTGGCATACTTTTTCAGTGGCATATTTTTAAATCTTTTTATACACTCTGAACTGTTATTACTGTGTTATGTAATACAACAATCATATCCAAATGACTCTGTTTGTTTAAATCTTCCCATGGTGCCAGATGCTTACCTTCCTCTACCTTTAGTAAAGGTTTCAGACACATCATTGTGAGTGTTAGTGGCAGTTCCAGACATCAATGTGGACTAAAACAAACCACATATAAATAAAATGCAGTCAGATCATAATTTAATACATGCAGTGGGTTAACTTGCAGTACATGCATCAGCTTGTTTATGTACTCACTAGAAGTATTTCAATCAGGAGAGACTTGTACTGAGAGAAAAGAACATGTATTGACATCTGCACACAAGTATGAGACCTGTGAAAAGTCTTTGGTGATTAGACCCCATTGTGATGTCATCTATTCCAGTGGGGTGGTAAAGAGTCTAGACGCTGGTGGTGGTGATGAGATGCGACGAAGAGGGATTTGAGGATCTGGATGTGTAGAGGAGCAGGCTTTTGATGTACTCATCTTGGGCTCTGGATAACTAGGAAAAGGAACACACACATTCAGCTGATTGGTGGAAGCTATGGGAGCGGGATAGAGAATTGTGAATGGATGTAGCATAAAGAAAGTCTTCCTGACTGAACTTAAGCTAAGCTTCATAATAAAAACACTAGTATGGCTGTTTTAGTCAAATATGAGTTTGAATTTTATAACTTGTAATAAATTGTGCCTTAACCTATACAGCGAGGGTAGACGAAATATTGTGATGGTGCTGAGGCTGTACTCTAGTCAGAATTATGCCAGCCAAATCAGATTTGGCAGTTCAATATGAATATAAGACTAGTTGTTTCTTTTTTTTCTTATATAGAGTTTGAGAGTTTGAACAGGGCTCAGCGGGATGTTTAGTGTGACATTGATATTCATTAGTGAACAAGCTACTGTTGTATTAAGTTGCTGTGAGCTGTAAATTCAACACTTCTATGCAGAGGATGGAAGATATGACATTATCTCAGAGCTTCACTGCGAAAAAGCCTCTCCTTTGGGCAGCTGCCTGTGCCAGAGAGCAGCGTGAAAGTGAGGACTGCTCACTGCAGCTAAATCTGAAACATTTACAGAAGTACAATGAACTCTGTGACAATAAAAGAGTTGAAAGAATCTCGGTCAACTGAGGGGTCCCCAACTGATTTTTCGAATCTCTGTCTTTCAGGGAGCAGCCCGAGATGGTGCTACACTTTTTATTTTGCCTCAGACTACAGTTGTTTTCTACATATAAACCCACAAAATGCTCACTCTGTTTGAGAAGTGCAAACTGTCTGCTCTAATTCAATGTTCAAGTTCTTTGTGGCTCTGATCATCCAGTGAAAGACAAATTAAATACACTTTGTTTTTACCATGTTATCCTGTAACCATGCTTAAACTAAATAAAGCTGATGAAGTCAAAGCAGAAGCTTCTGTGTGTATAGATGAAATATTTACCTTGTCCTGGGCTGAGCGGCTCCATCTGTCAGTGACTTTTCATCTTCCCAGAAACGGGAGCTTTTCTTCACTTCAGTGCAGCTCTGAAACAGGAAAATCACATTATTGGTGTCAATGTGCACAACTGCTTTTTTTTTTGTGAAGTCTGCCAAAACACAAAAACAGTACTGTGTGTCAGACTGTTGACTACAGCGCACAAGCTTCTAAACAATGCACAAAAGTAACGACATATATGTGTTTGGTAGATTATTTATTTGATGTAGCAATGGTTCTTGGCAATAAATCTAATACAGTTGGAAAGCCTGTTTATTTCCGTTTTAAATGGTGCCACATTTGTAAGGAACTTGCATTTATGGGATGAGCAGCAGAACAGAGTATGTGGGTTGCGACCATGAAAAATTTGCCAAATCTTCTCTGCCAATGCTAAACAGCGTTTTTTTTTTTTTGCTGTTGCTATTGACTTGTTTTGAGCTTGTGGTACCCCTAAGTGAGCTGTGAGCACGGGCCCTACTGCAGCTGTCAGTTGGTGTCTGCTCCAATAATCAGCATGCCAGGTTTGACTGATCTGGATAGGGCCCGTGCAATAGGGTAACTTCAAGCTGGTGTTCCGCAAAACCAAGTTGCGGCATTATTTGGATTGAGCCTTAGTACCATCTACAAACTGAAGGCAAAGTTCCATATAACAGGGGATGTTGGAGACAGGCCGCGAAGTAGGCATCCCAAGAAGACGGCACCCCAAGAAGACCATTGTCGTCCTGTCACCACTTTGGAGCCGTAGGCAGTCTTCTACGAGTTTGCAGTCAAGGTTTGCAGGACGATATGGCTGATCGATCTCTGCCCAGACAATCCGAAACAGACTGCACGCAGCCAATCTCTGGTCTCATAGGGCTGCCAGGAGGCCTGCCATGACTGCCCTTCACCATCAGGCCCATTTGCGCTGGTGTCAGCAGCGCGTGCACTGGAACGTGAACATGTAGAGATACGTTATGTTGCTAAGCTGTGGGTTACTAAGTCCACAGCGATGTTTGGGTGGGTGGAGGACATCAATTGGCATCCGCATGAATGCCATAACCAAAGGTCTCGCAGCAGAACATTGTATTAAAATGAAATGATCAATGTTACTCACTTCATCCACCACTGGTTTTAATGTTTCGGCTGATCAGTGAACATGCCCTGAGTGGTTACATTGCAGCCTGGTCACTGCTCTCGCTCAGTATGTGACTAGTTTCAAAAATTGTTGCTCTCATTAGTTCATTGGACACAAAAAAGGTGAAAAAATGGGTCAAGGTTGAAAAATAAGTTATCCTTTAAATGTCAAAAATAAAAGTACTTGTGGCCTCTGTGACACAAAGTGTTGAAATATTAGAATTTCGCCGATGCATTCAGGTGTAGCGTCTCACTCTTTTACCTGAAATACTGTTGGGCAGCTTAACCTTTAACAATGCACCATATTTTAAAAGTTTTATTATTTAGTTTATCATTCAGATCTTTTGTTTGTAAAATATTAATCTGTGAAATAGTTACTAAAGCTCAAATAAATAAAGCAAAGTTCAATATTTGGCTCTGATTTCGTAAAGTGGAAGAATTTAAATACTCAAGTAAGGCACAAGTTGTACCTCAGTACAGCACTTGAGTGAAAGTACTTAGTTGAACTGAGGATAGAAATCCTCCCACTCCTCCCTTCTTACAGCGAGACCATTTTGAAAGAATTTTACGGAGACAACATTTTGTTCTTTCTGCACTTCCTTTCTGCTTCAAACTTATGTAACTTAGTCACTTCTTGTTACTCAGTGTTCAAAGGTGACTTCCTGTCTGGTATGTGACTGGGCAGTGGAGGTAAAAGACTCCTGATTTCATAACGCTGGTTGGTAAATGACTCACAAGCTGTTCAGAGTTCAGCAATTTTTTAACTGAAAAATTACCAGATGAAGAAAGAAAAGGTTTGTACATCAGAGAGAAGACTAAAGGGACTGAAATCAACATGACAACAAAAGTCAAGAATAACAAAGATAAAGAAGTTAACATGATTTTGCAGTTCTACAAGAACAGACATCAGTGGTGGAAGAAGCACTCAGATCTTTTACAGGTGAAAGTCCTGGATTCAAAATCTTACTCAAGTAAAAGTACAAAAGTATTAATTTGTATTAAGAATCTGAATCTAGAAAGTCCTTATTTACTCCAGCAGACAGACATATGTGGTGGACTAAATGTACAATATTTCCCTCTTCGAAATTAGTGAAGTTGAAGTTTAGAATTGAGCATATTGTTAGTTCAGGCAGGACACGATATCAAGCTCAGCTCACATCCCAGCCACATCAGCTGATCTCGAACAGCCCAAACAACTGATGGAGCAGCTGACTGATGAAGGGAGTCAGCTGATAGATCACATGATTCTTGTCTATGCATCCAATTGGCGAATCTCATTCAGGACATCCTATTTAAACTGCTTTGCAACCTGCCCCCACCCCAGCTCCTCCTTTTTGTGCTGTGTCTGACTACTCAGTGTCATTTCTGTTTGTCATTGATGCTGCCCTGTTCTGTTCCCAGGGGTCTTTGCTGCTGCTCTCCCGCCTTAGGCTTTCCATGTAGGCGCATGGAAGGGCAGGGAGGTTTGCTGTCTCTGCCGCAGGCTTTCCTTGTTCGCACGAGGAAGGTTATAGTTAGGGCTGGCTCAGGCTTGCCCTGTACCAGCCCCTAGTTAGGCTGACTTAGGCCTAGTCTGCCGGAGGACCCCCCTATAATACACCGGGCACCTTCTCTCCTTCTCTCTCTCTCTCTCTCTCTTATTCTATTACTACATCGGATTACTGTTAATTTATCATGCTGATCTGTTCTGTACGACATCTATTGCACGTCTGTCCGTCCTGGAAGAGGGATCCCTCCTCAGTTGCTCTTCCTGAGGTTTCTACCATTTTTTTTCCCCGTTAAAGGGTTTTTTTTGGGGGAATTTTTCCTGATCAGCTGTGAGGGTCATAAGGACAGAGGGATGTTGTATGCTGTAAAGCCCTGTGAGGCAAATTGTAATTTGTGTTATTGGGCTTTATAAATAAAATTGATTGATTGATTGATTGATTGAAGGGCAGACAGGTGTACTCTCTTTGCCTTAGCCTTTTCACGTAGGTGCTTGGAAGAGGCTTTCTGTGTAGGCCTGAGGAAAGGCAGCGAGGCCCCTGAACAGAGCCACACCGCCAAATATAATACTGCAAATGGAAATAAAGTTGTCTTTGAAAAAAGTGGTCCTGACGGAAGCAGTATTAAATGAAAATACACAGGCAAAGTACATGTTCCTCAAATTTGTACTTAAGTAAATTACTTTTGTAAATGTACTCTGTTACTATCCACCACTGGGAGCCACTTGTTTAAGCTATAAAACTGGGTCTTGTGGTTTTATAATGTACAACTCATCATCTGAAAAGTAACTGCTAACTTAAAGGTCCAGTGTGTTGGATTTAGGGGGATATATTGGCAGAAATGGAATGTAATATAATGAATATATTTTCTTTAGTGTATAATCACCTGAAAGTAATTATTGTTGTATTTTGGTAACTTTAAAATGAGCCATTTATCTACACAGGGAGCGGGACATTGTCCACGGAGTCATAAAAATGTCATTAAAAATGTCTCATTCTACTATGATATTTGAATTATATTTTTGTGACATACTGTGCTATAACTTTTAGGATTTTTTTTTTAAATGGCATGCTACTCTACGGCATTTTAATCACATTTTATGGCAAACTATACTATGATTTTTTTTAATCATTTGTTTTTATGACACTTATGGAATACTATACAATGGCTTTTTATTATTTTTCATGGCATACTATACTATACTATACATTTCTTATGATTTTTTCATGGCACAGATTTCTTTTCTGACATTTTCATGATTTTTTTTGTTGTTGTGGTATACACAATTTAATTTTATATTTAATTTCTACAGTCTGGCTTCAATTCACCACCTCACTATGTGTAAAGCAAATTCCCCCTGTCTCCAAAATGTTCACACACATGGGTGAGAGTTTCCACTCAGATGTGCACATTTTCATGTCAAGTTTGTTTTTATAGATCACAAATTTTGCACGGGAAGTGGCGTATTCCTCTTTCAGGCCTCGATTTGTGCATAAGCAGTGAGACCCCTGGTCCATTTGTGTGGAGAGGACCTCTGCAGATGATTTAGCTCACAGTGATTTAAAAAAAAGCCTGAACAATGAGCACTGAAGCAATTATAAGCATGTTTACGCTTGGCACATTAGGAAAGTTTCAGCTGGTTGCAATCTGCAATCCTCACTGCTCGATGCCACCAGATCCTCCTACATCTTACACATTGAACGTTAAAATGGTGATGTAGTGGAGTAGAAAGTACGCATTTTCCAGAAATATGGTGGAGTTGAAGTAGAAATACGGGAGCCGCTTGGTGTGCAGACGTATTTGTTTTCTATTTAGCCAGATTTCATTAGGTCCAGCACCCACTCCATTGGACATTGGCATGTATGTGTCTTTTGCACTGTTTTTGGTGGAGTTGAAGTAGAACACAGCAGAAAATGGAAGTGAAAATAAGTGACTGTTGTAAATGTACTGTGGCAAACACCGGTTTGTCTTCATCAATGACTCCTCATCTGTTCATCTGACTGTAACCTAACCACAGCTGACTGTTTACAGTAGATAATCACCAACTCTTCCCCTTTTTCATTTCCTCCCAAAAGACTCATCCAACCAACTTCTTCTCAAACACACCCAGGATTCATACTGAAGCAGGAAGTCCGATTTTTAATCACCACCATCATGTCATCACCACATTGCAACAGTTCAGTCCTTGTCTCACAAGAATGATTTAGAATGTTTTCCAATGAATGAATGTTTGAATTACTCCTTGTTCCATGGAACAACCTCACGGCCTCACAGTAAGTGTTTCATAGACACAACGGCGGCAGTTTGTTTGGAAGAGATAAGGGAAGGCGAAAAGACACA